CAAGAGAATACTAAATGCGAGTGCCTGTTAAAAGATATAATTTAGCGTCGTTTGGAGTGCCTAACAAATTGTTGAATTGTTCGGGCAGGGCAGTGTCGGCAAAGAGTTAATAGTATTAACCTAAAATATTCTCACTGGCTAGAAACAGAGAACAAGCGAGCGATACAACGTGTATTTTGTTGAAGCTAGCCAGCTTCAAGGTAAACGGCATGTACACTCTCTTCGGCTCCAAAAATCTCTTTTTCGTAAACACAATACTCCAAAACATGAGGAAGAAAACAACGAAACAGCAGCAGAGTTGCTATCGTGCGCAATATTATTCATGAATAGTTTTCATTTTAAAAAATAAAGGCACCTATACCTCGGATTTTTGTATATTTTTTTAATAGAAACTAATTTAATGAAATGTCACATATTGACCGAAAAATTCATTCAAATTGAAATGTCCACATTGACTGATTACCACCAAAACCGCGCGTATGGGCATAAAGTTAGATTATGTATTAGCAAACGGTACACGGTGCGTGAATTGCGTGCCCACTTCAAATTTGAAATTTTTCATAAAACCCGTTATTTAAACCCTTCAGTACAGGAGCATTGAAATAAAAATTATTAAACAATTCCCCCAAACGAATCGAGGGCCGACCAAATAATATTTAACTGTAGCTGATGTTTTAATTATTTGTTTGTGTTCGATTTAATATTCAATGAAAATTAAATCTGGAATGGCAACACTACCAGGCACGCCACAACAAGGGCTACACTACACTGATGCTCTTTTTGTCACTGTTCTTACCATCGTGGCGAGCAATATAAAATGTATATTTATATTCTATTTACATGTATTATAAACACTGGCTAGGCAATGGTGGGGGCGAGCCACCAATGTCGCTCCATATGTTTACTTCATTCGCATATTGTTGTGAACTGTGTCGATATTTGGCTATTTGAGTATTTGTGTGTGTGTATGTGTGTATGTGGGAGAGAGAGCAAACGCCAATAATGTCTGTTTTCATTCATTTTTTCACAACATCTTCTAAAGATTCATACCTACTCGATGAAGGAAATACAAGATATTCGATTTTACGTCTTTATGCCAAATAAAAAAACCCGCTCCGAATCATTTGTAGTACAAATTGTGTACATACCTTTATATGTGAGAAGATGGGAATTCATGAAATGTAAATTAATTCTCTTTGGAGAGTGTTTGGTCATTTGTTTACATTTTGATGTTGTTTTCGGCATGTTCTCCCGACCATTCTTACTGAATTCATACTCACACGCACGCACACACATCAGTCATGATGCGTTACTATACCAACAGAAACAACAAGTCGTAAACGTCCCAATAAATGGGCTATTTTGTCAAGTCGACTCATATTGATTCGGTAGGAGATGTGCTCGGTAGTTCGTAGGTGGTAGATAGACGGCTTAATTAGGTCGGTTGTAGTTATTGAACAACAAGCCGTCTCCAATCTCGTGGATTTGTATGAAATTGATAAATCGAAATAAGTCGGATCTACCGAGCATATTTTTATTAACCATGTTTTTTCTATTTCCTATGGCGATGACGTCGCTTGAAAAGTGAACGGTACGGTGGTATGTTTGTCGTTGCTCTACAGGAAGTGGTGTCGCCGAGTGGAATTTAAATGTTTGTTGGTCGTGTGGTTATTGTTGTTGCCCCTATTGCATTTCTCCCATCAACGAACCAGTGGAAATTGGATGTGTTCTTCTTCACACCGATAAATGTCATTACACACTCCCGTTAACAAAAAAAAAAAAAAAACTAATTACAAAAGCAGATTTGCTTTTTGTTAGCGCGTTTATTTCATCTTCGGCGAAGCTATCATCGTCTGTACATTTTTCATGTATTCGTAACTTAATAAATTTGTTGTCATTGGCTCGACTTGAATACCTTTAGTTCTATAACGAAATAAACAATCTCATGGTCACTGATTCTTCTAGACACAGTTGTTTTCCATCCATCGACACTTTAATATTTCCCACCGACGTCATTTTTATTACAAAAGAGAATATATTCGCACTGTAGTTGGATGTGTGGATGCCTCTGAGCGTATGTGTGTGTGTTTGTGGCCAGTGGAGGACGAGGCGTATGCATTAATCGATTTCAGACACAAGCATAAAATATTTACCCTTAATCCGAATTTGCCTATGATCCGAAATCGAATAAGGCAACTATTTGTTTATTTATTTACTATTTTCGTTCAAGTATTGATGTTAAGAATTGATATTGCTCTATTCATTAGAGTCAGTCGGCGAGCAATTGTTCAAACTCAAATAAATCTCTGCGTATATACAAACATTAAAAATACACGAAACGCGGAAAACCGAAACGAACATGACACACCGGACGCGACAACCACACGACTGAATGCAAGCAACCGAACAAAATCAACAAACACCCAGGAAGAGAGTGGGGTCAGTAAGTAGTTTGGCGCTCTTTTTTCTCACACAAAATCCAATGAAAGCTTTTTGTATCTCTTTAAGCCAGTAACCCGTTATGAAGGCCTATACATTAGGTCCCCCAGTAAGGCCAGCTGATATCTAAATCAGGCATGCTTACCCATATACGCTACCGTAACAGAGGGTCGATTGGTAAACATATTTTCTCTCTCTTTCTCTTTACGTTAGTCGTTTGTAATGGTGAATTCTCAGTTACACTCGCACACACTTGCTCTCAATTTAATTTTGCCCAACACTGATCTAAATTGTTTGTCAAAATGCATTATTGTGATTTAAATAAACACAGTTGACTATCTACGGTTATTTACAAATAAATTTGTAGAAATGCTAAAATGTGTAATGAATGTTGTAATAAAAGGGGAGTTGAGCTAGGACGAACTTTTCATACCTTCCGACGCGGCATTGAAAATGCCTATTATATGCCTTGCTAAATTGCTGTCACGATAAAAATACGAAATACCAAACTACAGACAATAGGTTTGTTGATAATTTCTAATTTTTTAAACTGTAAAATCTATTTTTAGACTAGATTTATTTTTAGCGAAAAACGACATACATATACATTATTATTTAAGCCAGATTACGCCATATTTTATAAATAAATTATTATTTTTAAATAAAATGTTGTGTTAGGAGAGCATGAAATAAGTTGCAACAATAAAATAAAATAATTTACATTTATTTATTTATAAGGATGTTGCGCGCGTCTTTAAATAAATTTTTATATTAATAAAAATTTATAATGACCGGCAACTTAAAATTGCAGAAAGAAAAAGAAGCCAGAAAGAAAAAGAACCGGATATGCAGGGCGACCAATGAACGAAATTAAAAAGTGATGCCAAGGCCAGGGTTGATCCAAAAACAGTGACTTTGCGAGATTGACGTGAGTCAAATACAACCTTGTCGCTATCGGCAGGTTTAGTAGAACAGCTGTTAAAGGAAAATAAATAAATGTAAGAAAATTGTGGGAAAATTAGAAAAAAAGATGGAAACCTTTGGCTGGGGTTTTTTTTTCGAGCCTATATAAGGGGGTGAAGAAGGAAAATCAGGGGAGATCAGAGAGTTAACCTTTGTGAAGAAGACATAAAAAAGGAGATCAGATAGTTAACCTTTGTGAAGAAGACATTAAGAGGAGATCAGTAGTCAATCCTTGTGAAGAGTACATGAAAGAAAAAAATCTCATTACCGAAAAGATTAATAAAAAAGACAAAATATTGAATTTATATTGGCGATATTAAAGCCATTTTTATTTGCTTTTGAGTGGACGATAACGATTGAGTGGACGTATTTAGTTAAATAGTGAATAAGTATAAAATTGTGAGGATTAATAATACCTAATTGTGTTTGATACGTGAGTGTAGGGTTACCTCCAAGATCAACTAGTGTTTTTTGGTTTTTGTGTGGACAAAAATGAAAATGTCCGATTTGTCCTACTAAGAGAGCTCTTTTAGGCAGAAGAATTTAGAGTAAATTATTGGCCGGAATTGGCAAAAATCTAGTAGAAAAGGGTAATCTGAGCATTGACTCACAGATTAATTTGGCGGGTATTAATAGTCCCAAAGTTTAATGTTATGTTAGGTGAAGTGATGAAATGACTATATCAATTAATTTTTATATGTTTTATATTTGATATTATGTGGTGTTAGATTCTGTTTGTGAGAGAGGAAATTAGGTGTATGTTATAATGAGGTAAGTGTGTGTGGCTTTAGGGGCCCTTTAAAAAAAATCATTTAAAATTTGGACAAAAGGGTCAAGGAAGGGCGGGCATAGTGGGGGAACGTTAATATCAAGTTCCTGTGTAATGGATGTATGGTGTTTATGTTTTTGTGTTGTTTGTTTGTGATATGATCCAGATTTCAATTTGTGCATTCCCTAGGGTTGATGGTGGCAAGGGTTGAGAATTCCTCCTGACAAACAAATGTTCCCAAACTGAGCTAGCATGGAACCCCACCATAGCGCCGCATTAGGCTTGAATGTAACAAGGAAACGATTGGAATTATATTTACTTAGGCGATTAATCATGCTTGCAAGATGTGAGAAAAAAAATGGTGTGATATGCAAATTAATACGGCGTTTACATTAGAACTTTTTACCGGGTTAACCGACTTTATGAGGATTTATTTGGCATATATGTAAAGGAATTGACAATTTGAACCCACTAGGTTAACCAAATCCGGTACAATGTAAACGTACTTTAAGACTATGTACAGGCAGTAACTGTTTTAATCTTTTTATTTTAGGCATCTGATTCAGGTTTGTGTTGTCTGTTTGTTTTCATCAAGACATGCAATTTTTGATTTTGATATATTTATATCGAAGTGTTTACTATTTTTAGTTCCCTTTCTAATCGTTTACCACTGCAGCAGAAGAGAGCTAAGCTAAGGCATTTCAACTTCTTACGGGAACAAAGTACTCAGTAGAGATTTTCATGTTACATATGTTTAATGGACAATTTTTCGAAAAAGCTGAATATTATAATGTTTTTAGCATTTTACATTCATTTGACACGACAGCAGCTATTCGCACCAGCTCCATAAACAGCCATCGCCTGGTAGGCATCCAAATTTTCCGGGATAATAGTGACAATATTCCTCTAAATTCATGTAATTGCATGCATTTTTTGGACACATATACCGGGAGCAGTAAGCGGAGCAGTTTTCTGGTTGATTGAGCGGACAACCAGAACAGTCCGCTGGATCATTATTTGCAACTGAAAGTAAACAATTGACTTGGTGCATTGAGTTTGGTTCCGAAATTAAAACTCACGATCAATACCTTGTGGCGATAATGTTGTCGGCGGCGGCATAATTAAAGTCGAGTGTTTGTATTTAATTTCCGGAGGCCTCAAATATACAGTGGGAGCACTACACACTCTGGCATCACATAAATGTTGATTACGATTAAAACAAATCCACTTCTTGCCATAAAGCTTGCAAATACGCGATGTTCTCACATTACAACAACCTACAGATTTCGATGATTGATCGTCAGCCTCCTTTTCACGACTATTTACAAGTAAATTTGTGGGCTTGGTGTCATCATTGAGAACCAGTGGCTTTATTAGTTTTTCAGATTCCTTCAGTACTGCACTTATTTCGTTGGTATTAGGCAAGCTATAGTCCCCGGAGTTTTTGGAACTAATGCTTATATCCTGGGCAGGGAGACTTGTTCCAATATTTTTGCTGTTGTCCCTATCGACATTCGACGTTCCGTTTAAAATCTGTTTATACTGACTATTAACTTCAAGATACACGGGGCTCCTTAGCACCTCATTAGTCACAACATTTTCTATTTCCAGAATTGTGGTTATATTTTCTGGTTCTTGACACCTCTTACCCCGCCATACTGTCCCGGGGGGACAAATGGCTTGCAGACAGATGCCCTTGTACAATTCGCCGTTTGGACAAATCATTTTGTGGCACTTATTATCTAGCAAGACCGAACCTTCTGGACAGTATATGCGGTCTGCTTCTATTGGAGCACACGAGCACATGTCGTCGATCTGTGTTGCAGCATATCCGTGCGGACACTCGATATTACAAACCGGCTGGTATTGAAAACGGGACTAAAAATTATGAAGGTACAGTATTGATTTATTTAAGTAATTTTGATCCTGGCACATACTGAAATTGAATTTTCGGCACACACACCAATGGCAAGAGCCGCAAGAGCCAACACCGCTGAAATCACATTTATTTTATGGAGCGCTAACATTCTGGTCCGTGATGTTACAATTCAGAATTCTGACTAATATGTGTCTGTCAATGGGAATCATAAACATACTCTCTCAATTGATAAGCCTCGAATCTTGTATAGGTCTAGGAAACACAAAAAGATCCAAGGTCATGTTCATACGTGATAATAATTTCTAAATATACAATTTATAAAATATATACAATTTATGCAATTCAGAATTCTGACTAATATGTGTCTGTCAATGGGAATCATAAACATACTCTCTCAATTGATAAGCCTCGAATCTTGCATAGGTCTAAGAAACACAAAAAGATCCAAGGTCATGTTCATATGTGATAATAATTTCTAAATATACAATTTATAAAATATATACAATTTAGTAGTGTTTCCGGTTTATTTGGGATACCATTTGTATTTTGTTTTTGCAAAATAGTCAGGCTGAATCCCAGTTTGTTGTTTTTATAAAAAACAACTATTTATTAGTGGGGAATGTATGGCATTGTTTGCCGAGGGGTAAGGCAGGGAAGACTATAGTTTCGGATCACGCCACTGATCCTCATCAGTTCCCTTAGTTTTTTGTTGGGATATTCTCCCCAGAAGCTATTACTTCTATACAAAAAACCGTTCATACCCAAATGTCTCTTGTAACAAAGCGAAGTACTTAGCTGACCAGCGACATAAACTGTATGAGAATTTCGCTGGAGCCTCACTTCGAGGTTAACAAGGCATTTACAAACAATTCCATACCATTTCCCACTGTTGTGTGTACATTCCCCACTAATAAATAGTTGTTTTTTATAAAAACAACAAACTGGGATTCAGCCTGACTATTTTGCAAAAACAAAATACAAATGGTATCCCAAATAAACCGCCAACACTACTGAAGTTGTAGACGCAGGCACGGTTAAACTGTTTGATTTGTTGCTGTATACTAGCAACACCAACAAGTCGTTGCATTTGTCGCGATGTGACAACACACAACAGTGGGAAAGGTATGGAATTGTTTGTAAATGCCTTGTTAACCTCGAAGTGAGGCTCCAGCGAAATTCTCATACAGTTTATGTCGTTGGTCAGCTAAGTACTTCGCTTTGTTACAAGAGACATTTGGGTATGAACGGTTTTTTGTATAGAAGCAATAGCTTCTGGGGAGAATATCCCAACAAAAAACTAAGAGAACTGATGAGGATCAGTGGCGTGATCCGAAACTATAGTCTTCCCTGCCTTACCCCTCGGCAAACAATGCCATACATTCCCCACTAATAAATAGTTGTTTTTTTATAAAAACAACAAACTGGGATTCAGCCTGACTATTTTGCAAAAACTATATGCAATTTATACAATTCAGAATTTTGACTAATATGTGTCTGTCAATGGGAATCATTAACATACTCTCTCAATTGATAAGCCTCGAATCGTGCATAGGTCTAAGAAACACAAAAAGATCCAAGGTCATGTTCATATGTGATAATAATTTCTAAATATACAATTTATAAAATATACAGTGGTGCCCATGTCATATGCAAGTCAAATTTACTACGTGGATCGACGTTCTCCCTTGGCCCAACCAATCCACAATTTGTTGGAGATCATTAACTCAAGAATCAGCCGGTGAATAGCCTGTGCAGCAATATAGCTTGAAACAATTAAAAATTGAATATTATCTATGCCTAAGGTATGTGCGAGTGTCCTCCAGAATAAAGGATACGCAACTGAATATTGATTTTAACAATTTTTTCTGTACTTTAAAATATTTTTTGAATTTTAAAAATGTTGTTTTTAATTCTCAATTCTATATGTTTGTATTTTTCAATAAAAGATATACATATAAATAAATAATAAGAAAAATGAAAACAGATTGTATGGCATTACTTTCATAAAAATCATTTAAAAAATGTACTAAGAGGGTGATTAAATTTTTGCCGATACTGTATGTTCCAAAAGAGCGAATAACGTTCTAAATTTCCTGTATAAGTCATATAAACACGAAAAGGTGCGAGGTCAGGTTCATATGTGATAATTTCTAAAAACACACTCACTGAAAGATCGAATAAAAATAACATTTAATTTGAACATTTTTCAAGTCTTTGATCAGTCTCATCAGTTTGCGCCACCAACCCACACTTCGTAAAATATATGAACAATATTTTCGGAATGAATGCCATTTTGCCGAGAATATTCGTTTTCTCCTTGCTAGTTAGCTGCCTGATACTTCAATTGGTGGTAAGTGAAGAAGATAAAGTCAAACTTTTTAATTTGTATCTAATTGTTAACACTATTGTTTTTGTTTCACTAGGATGCGCAACAATGCCCCGGAATGTCGATTCTATTTAATGGGGCGTGTTTTGACATTACTAGAGGAAATTGTCGCGAGGGTAAGTGGAGGGAATTGATTGATTATGAAATTTACACAAACTAATTGTAAACAATTGAAACCTCTCCAATACGATGTGATTTCCAGCGACATGCAATTAATTGGTCCAGACCAAATCATTTTCAGTTTTAATCTTTCTTTGCATTTCAAGGTTATTATTTGATTGGAGAACAATGTTGCCTAGAAAGTTGCGTACGTGAATGTAGCGGTGTAAATTGCCTAAATTGTTGTGAACCTAAGGGACAGGTCTTTCCCAATTCGAATCAAAACAATGCTCCGTGTTGCACAAATAATTGCCAGATTCCTTCATCTGCATGTTGTCAGAATTCTTGCACAAATAATTGCCAGATTCCTTCATCTGCATGTTGTCAGAATTCTTGCCAGAACCAGGTTCCATGTCAAACAAGTAACTGTTGCGGTAATTCCTGCCCAACAACTTGCAATCCATGCGCAACTACTCAATGCAATAACTGTCTCACGCCTCCAACGAATCCACCGAATCCAATTCAACATCAACTACAGAAACCCCGCCTCCAGTACCAACATTACCACCTCCCGAAATAAAACAGTGCCCCAAAGGAACGATTTTAATAGGTGGCTACTGTCAACTGCTGTACTGTCCCTATGGAACTGTCATGTCTGGCGATCAATGTATTCAGGTTAAGTGTCCTGAGGGCTCAGTATGGACTGGCAACAAGTGTTCCCTGCCGGAACCCATTAGGCACACTATTAACATAAACAACACGATTACAACCAAATCTGACCACTCACAACCGAATATAAATCTCAGTCATGTCAACAACTTCAATATTAATGCTCCGGTGACAATCAATGAAACTATGTTAAGTGAGTCTGTGGATTACAGAGATGAGACAATTGCTGATACGACTACAACAGCGTCACCTCCACGCTGTTGCACTGTTGTGACTCCACGAACATGTGAACATCGCAATGACCGTTGGTACTGCTATCATACCGGTAAAAGCCAAAGATGTGGAGACTTTTGCACCGCGAGCATAATCTATTTGAAACCTCCCCGAGTGTATTCCAGACCGAATGTTGCAGTTATACCACCCCTACAACCGAGCTGCGGCAGTCCCCTTGGCCTATGTGGTCCCACAACAGGTTTGTCATATATTTAAATACCGAGCCTATACCAGTGTGTCTACGTGTGTATTTTGTTTTACGCAGGTGGATTCGATTATTGTTGTCTGTAAATGTAGTTGTCCTTGTTGACCACGAAGTCAGGCGCCAATTCTCATTGGGGTCGTATCGCTGGTAACGTAAAAAATTGTCACAAGAGACATTTGGGTTTGAAAGGTTTTTTGTAAAGAAGCTTGTTTTTATAAAAACAACAAACTGGGATTAAGCCTGACTATTTTGCAAAAACAAAATACAAATGGTATCCCAAATAACCCGCCAAACACTACTGAAGTAAATATTCGTACTTAAACGCTATAACAACCAAAATTAGTGTTAACTTTTTTTTTGTTACAACAATGATTTTACAAAGTAACTATGAATGTAGCACTATTTATACCAGGGTTGATCGCAATATTCACTTTACTTCAAATTAGGTCTTATATTTTGTTACCTTTTGCTGCTTTTGATTACACTTCAATTCTCTCACCAGGTCTCGTAACACTTCGCTGTCAGGCGGAAAACAGTATTTATAGGTTAGGTGAATGCCGACTCAACAGAAATATTAAGAGCCGAGCTATAAGCACTAATCATGTACGGGATGAAGGTTTCGGGCACAAATATCATTGATTTGTTTCTTTTCAATCGTTTTAATTTTGGACTTTTTCATGTACAATGATATTATTCTTAGCCTCGTGGCAGACCGGCACAAACTGATTTGATGCGAAGACAATGATTACAGCGGAGTTAAACGGCGATAATCTCCAAAAATTCTCTCTCCACCTCTTGCTAAATGCCCCTTGCTTATGCCCAAAAGCAACTAAGCGAAAAACCGATGTACAAATTTAAGTTTTTTATAAACGAAACTGCGAGATCACAAAATGAGATACAGTATTTTTCGGTTAATTTAGCCTATGGTTAATTGGTTTCCACGCTTAATTGAACCACGTGATGGGGTAAAAAATATTGCATAGGAAAATAAATGATTGTATTCGAAAATTGTTGAATATATTAATTTAGAACTTCTTGAGATCAGAAACCAAGAACGATTAAAATTTTGCTTTTAGGCATTCCCGTAAAGTAATAAGGCGAGTACCCACTATCATTTATTACTGTTAGCTTTTTATCGATTACTGACTCTCCAATAACCAATAATTTGAGCCAAACTGTCATTCAAAAGTGATAGTGTGTAGACTAGG